ACAACTAGAAGAGAGAATATAGGGGAAGTCATTACTTGAGTACAGTAAGTGCTTTAAATGCAGGAGAACCCAAGGATTTTGTGTTGGGCCAGCAACTGAAGTCCTGAAGCACATAAATCTTCACAGGACTGGGCTAGATGAATCAGTGAGCAGGCTCTGTTTCAGACAACACCTTATGTAAACAAATAGATGCAGAATGACATCTTTGTGTTATTGCACCAAAAGCAGTGGAGAAGAAAGAAATAATGACCCACCCTACTGATTTATGATCTTAATAAAGATTTGATTTGATTTGATTTTGATTATCCTTTTTAACTAAACCCCAACTAGGATTCTGCCCACTGGATCAAGGGTAAGTAGGAAAAAAGAGCCGAATTAGAAATGAATGTCATGAAGTATAGCAACAAAGAAACAGAAGAGTATGAAACTTGATGAGCTATTCAGTGAAGTAAGTTGGAAGTTACATTGTAATGGAGATGGTAAGATCTGGAAAGAAGCTGTGTAGCCTGAGTTCACTCCATTTGTACAGCCATCAAGACATCTGCTTAGTAGCACAATTGCCATAAATAGAAAACAGAAGCCACCCCCTACTATACAGTACATACACTTCCATACACATGCTCACTTGAGCATCTGAAAAATCTTCCATTGTGTCTTCAAACTCTCAAAGAGTCTTATTTAGGAGACAAATGAAGAACCTATCAAGGTTTTTCATCCAGGAAGAACCTATCCCACTAAAGAGACAAAGCTTACTTTTATATAAGGGAAAGTTTGTGTTTCATAATGTATTTCCTTGTGATAGTCTTTCCGAATGTGCATATCTAGGGCAAACATATATCAACATGGTCAGATTATTATGTAAGATGAGCTAAACATATTGAAAAGTGGTGAGAATAGCTCACAGAAAACTGATAATAATAGGATTCTGAGACAGTTAAAAAAACTTGGGAAAATCGAGTTCATGTTTACATTTAGATACTTTATTTAGATTTAGATACTTTATTTGTATGCCGCCCTTTTCCCTGAGGGGACTCAGGACGGCTCACAATTCAGGGGGAGGGA